GGGGGGTTAACGAAAATACTCTCCGAGAAGAAAGACATTGGATGTTTGGCGGGTGCTCTAGAGGAGATTGCTCCTTCTCACCTATCGAACACGTACATGTATTATCCTTATTTTTCATCCTTCTTTTCTTTGTATGTTACTTTCAAGTGACACTTCTAATCTTCGGCACTTGTATAACCTATTCGTGTCGCAATTGCCGTAAAACTCTTATTAGAAAGTAGAAAGACGTCTTGGTGAAACATAAACGAATCCTTTGAATTTCTCTGACCCTGTATGTGTAGTTTTCGAGAGTGCAGTCTTCTGTTTATCTTTATTGCTTGCAAAAGGAGGCCCCCGAGCGGTCGATGAACACTTTCGGTTTTTATGCTGACAAAGCCATGTATTTCGCTGCAAATTCGGGAGAGCAAACAACACATTTTACAAGCACAAAAAACGCTGAAAAAGAAATTATACGTAACAAAACCCACATGCAGCAAAAGCAGTTTTCACCACGCCCAACCCCAAATAAGATCCAGCCAACTTTACCCCTCACCACCCCTCCCAAAAAAAGAAACCTACCCCCCCCCCCTCCTTTTTTTCTCTCCCGAAAACACCACCCTCACAAAACGTGCTTGCATTCCGAACATCCCTTCAGCACAGTTAACAGTCAGGCGGTCCCAACCTTGTTCAGAGTAAAACCCTTTTGAAATAATGTCCCATGACGAATTAGTTGGGGCTCTGTGCCATACATACACACTACCTCACCGTAAGCCCTTCATAGAAATGGACAGATCATGCTGATCGTTTCTTCTGGTTCAGTTGTGGTTAAACTACTCGGTACTCGGTGGGTGGTTGGTGGGCGCTCTAGTGTGGTTTGCTCCTTCTTTTCTATCAAACATCTTTGGTCTTTATCTCTCCTTATGTTTGTGTATATGTTGCTGTTCTTTTGTTGTTGTTGTTGTTGTTGTTGTATTGTTGTTGTTGTTGTTGTTGTTGTTGTTGTTGTTGTTGTTGTTGTTGCTGCTGCTGTTGTCACTAGCTTGTAATTGATCTAATCTTCGGCGCTTATATTATTACCTAATTAATTGTGTATCGTAAAACTCTTACTAAAACAGACAAACATAAAACTCTCAATGTGTCCTTTCAGTAACAACACGGTAGTGGAAAGAAGAGTGACCGACGTTATTTTTACCTGTCGTGTTTCAAAATGAAACAGTTTACGAAAATCTGTAGCTAAATTTTCAAGAGTGTGTCGTAGCTTTCAGCAGTTTCCTCAAGTTAGTCAGCAGTTTTCTCCTAAAACATTATGGAATACAATGATGGTATAAAGAAACGGGCAAAGCAACATCGAGCACAGATTTTAGGCAAAACTTCAGCAGCGTGAGGTAAAGAAAACCCCCATAAAACAATAGTAGACTAGTGGCTATCTTAGAATTACAAATCTCTATCTGACATTTCGGCCGTTTTAAGTTTCTGAGACCATGAGGTCAAAAACCAATTAATGTTCTGTCTACTCTATCAAAATCGTTAGATTAATTGGAGTCGTTATCAGATACATTCAAAGAATTGCATTCGAAAAAGCTTGACCATGCTGTGACACTCAAAATTTTTTACTTTAAATTTCTCAAAACTAGGTGCAGATCAGATAGCACTGTGTAATTCTAATGCATGGAAAGTGAAAATATAAAGAAACACGTT